ATCAGTTGAAGCTCTTAGGAGATTCAAGGAAGCTATTTATAAGGATCCATTGTTAGTTATGTCTAATTGGAATGTCCCCAATTTGGATCCTTGTGCTTGGAACGGTGTTAAGTGCTCTTCGACTAAAGATCATATTATCAAAATGTAAGAAACTTTGATCTCTACCTGGATTCCTCTAATCTGTAAATTAAGTTTTCTTCATCGGAAAAAAGTCTATTTTTATGATGATTTGTGGTATCTGGTTTCATGCTGTGAATCTTGCAGAAATATATCGGATACATCGATAAGAGGGTTTCTTGTGCAAGAAATTGGTCAGATAACCTACTTGCAAGAACTGTATGGTTTTGATTTCTATTGAAAATACCTGAAAATATGTGAAGTTTGATGACGGATAGAGTTTGGAAATTTTGAGATGGCATTTTTGTGTGGAATACTTCTTTAGGATCCTCCGCGGGAACATTCTAATGGGAACAATACCAAAAGAGATAGGAAAGTTGAAGAAACTCAAGATCTTAGACTTGGGAAACAATCATATAACAGGACTCGTTCCCGCAGAGATCGGGAATTTGGCAAGCATTAAGATAATGTGATAAAAAGCCATACTTTTTTTTCGCAATGTCATTTAATCAGATAATGTTCTGAAGTAATATTTGCTTGTTTGCTTGTAACTGCATTACAGAAACCTTCAGTCCAATGGTTTAACTGGAAAGTTACCTCTAGAGATTGGAAATCTGAAGTACCTTAGAGAACTTCATATTGACAGAAATAGGCTTCAAGGAAGTATTCCCGTTGCTAGTACATCGAAAAAGTAAGTTTCACCAATATGATGAATACTTATTGTCTATGATGGAAATGTTAAATATATGTTATTTTGTTTCTCTGAATCATCAGTGTTGCTTCAAATGCAAGTGCAAACATCACTGGTTTGTGCAAGTCTCCTCATTTGAAAGTGGCGGATTTCTCCTACAACTTTTTCGAGGGAGGAATTCCGACGTGTCTAGATTACCTTCCAAGGTATTTCTTATAAGACTCTTTTATCTACTTGGCTCTATTTTTCCATTTGATGATGTCTCTTTGTGTCGTGGTACTTCGTTGTAGAACGAGCTTTCAAGGAAACTGCATGAAAACCAAGGATGTTAAGCAGAGGCCTCCTTCAGAATGTGGTTTGTAAAAAATATGTGTTTTCACTTTTTGACATTCATAGTTGATTTCTTTGTCTAATTTTTCATTTTTGAATTCTTTAAATTGGCTTAGCTGCAAATGTGGCCAAGAAGAACAAACGAGTATCGACACCTATGTGGCTTTTGGATTTTGAGATAGTCACAGGGTCATCGGTTGGTTTGCTCTTTCTAGTTATAATTTTCTCCGTATGTAGCATGTGCAACTTAAAGCGCTCTCTCATCGTTCCCTGGAAGAAATCTGCAAGTGAAAAGGAGCAGTTCACGGTCTACGTTGGTTAGAAACTTTTGGAACTTCTAAGATTTTCAATACAAAAACCCGAAAGACCTTCAAGAGATGACAAAAGTTACAGAAAACTAGTTTTTTTATTACAGATTCTGAAATGCTGAAGGATGTTTCAAGATTCACAAGACAAGAGCTAGAAGTGGCGTGTGAAGACTTCAGCAACATAATTGATTCTTGCGTGGATAGTCAAATATACAAAGGAACGATTAAAGGCGGAACTGAGATTGCGGTGATCGCTCTTTGCGTTAAAGAAGAAGATTGGACTGGATATCTTGAGCTTTATTTCCAGAGAGAGG